TGTGTGTGTGTGTGTGTGTGTGTGTGTGTGTGTGTGTGTGTGTGTGTATGTGTGTGTGTGCGCGCGCGCGCGCGCGTCTGTGTGTGTGTGTGCACGTGCATGATCCTGGGGCTCCCACCCAGCAGACCCACATGTGATATAGGCCAGTGTTTCACCTACAAGGCACATTCTCACCCCAATCCTGCACAGTTTAGACGCTTCTTTTTCAAATAACCCTTTCATGCCATTCTGTGCACAAGGATCCAAAATGCCAACATTAAACCCAGACAGTTTTTGCAGCTTCCCAGGCTTGTTCTGAAGCCCTCAAATTGAATCTATCCCACCCTAGTTCCCTCTGCTCTCCAGTCAAATATGTACAATCATGATTTTTTTCATCGGCTCTGAACTTCAGGCCTGAACCAAAATTTAGGTAAAATTAAAAAAAAAAAAATGCATGCTTCATTTTAAAGATGTAACTCTTTGCAGATTAATGAATGGATTAGGAAAGTGGGCTAAGTCATAAAGCTAGGCAGAAGTAAATAAAGGGCCTTAAGCCAGCCACTGAAGATAATCCTGTCCTGTCTGTTTGAAACCTGGAGTCATATTTAGCTCTCCCCTAGAGAAGAACACACTGCAGAAATATCAGAAGCCAGGCCCTGCACGGGAGCTGCTACAACCACACACCATCCATGTCTGGTTCTGGAGAGAACAGCAGCTGCCGAGAACAGGAAATGCTCATCGTGAATCTACTGTTCCCATTGTCTCAAAATTACAGTCAGCACATACCTGGATCCCGAAGGAACATGCTCTGGTTAGCTACCTTAAAGAAATCATTTTATTAGCATCAAATTAATGAGCATCACTGTAACATATCCCTCTTTTTGTGTGTGTATTTTTATCTGTCCTCCCCTCTGCCCTCCCTGTTCCTCTCTGCAGGCTGGTCCCCTTCCCTCCCACCAAAACATTACCTGTTCCTCCTTTCATGTCACATGTACCCTGCGTCCTACTATTCCTCTTGCTCCACCATCTCACTCCCTTCACACGTCCTCCCCCTCTTTTGTGGTCTATGTGTACACACACATACAGAGATATACATGTGCACATGCCCACTCTCACGTACAGGAATTTAAAGCTAGATTCCACATTATTCTCAATCTGGCTAATTTCACTCAATGCAACGATTTCTGGTTCCATCCAACTTCCTGAAAATACAATTTTATCTTTACAGCTCAATAAAATCCTCAGCGTTTGTGCACCACATCTTCCCGAGCCACGTGTCTGTTGACGACAGCCATGCCGTGGCTACTGTGGACGGTGGAGCAATAGCATCCACACTGCAGTAGCTCTGTGCTGTGCTGACCGACAGGCCTGCGAGCACACACCCAGAACGGGTATGGGTGGGTCACGTGTGAGTGCAGGCGTCCATGGAGTACAGAGAGAGAAGTGGACCCCTGGAGCTGGGGCTACAGTAGCTGTGAGTTGTCTGACAGGGCTGAGTGGGTGCTGAGAAGCAAACTCTGTAAGAGTGGTAACTGTTCTTCGCCAGGAGCCATCACTCTAAGCTCCTTTTTTTTATGAAAGAAGACTGTTGCATTTGTATTTGTTCTGTTTATTGGTTCTTGTACGTGGTGAGAGATAGTGGCTCTCATTTAGAAGGAAAGACAGAACACCCACTTTAAGTCCCAGAGTCAAAGGAAGTGTACTCGGGGATGGGCATTCCAGTCAGCTCCAGTTCCAACCTCTGCGGGGAAACCAACTCCAACAGTCACAGGCTGCATGTTCTGGGAGTCTCACAGGTAGCCCTGGCCAACCTCAAAACAGGGATTCTCATGTCTGGTACTGGAGTCTTTGTCTCTTGGAGGAAGAACCATCTGCCCAGATGAGAAGGTATCATTAAAATTATATGCATATATTTATATATGGAATTACATATATAATGGTTTGGGGGAGTATTTTGTTTTGGTAAATAATTAATGGTGGATTCCCACGGCTTTTTTCAGACATCTTGTCATTTTACCCACCTCCATACTTCTTCCGTATTTACCTCCCTACCCGTTCTTAAGACCCTTTCCCGTTTCCCTATCAGATCATTGTATCTTGCTATTCTTTACTGCTTTGTGGCAAGTGCTTAGCCACTGAGCCATCTTTCCAGCCCCACTGTGGAAAGTTCTGATGAGGATTCCTATGTCTACATCCTTCAAGAGACTGTGGCCCCTAATTATCTCTGTTATGTCCTAATCTCATTTGGGTATAATCATAGTGATATATTAGTGTTCCTTTCTTACAACAGTTGGAGGAATATTGGAAGTTAGTTCTTTAAATGTTTGCTAGAATTCAGTAGTGAATATGTTTAGTCCTAGGCTCGTTGTCAGAAGACTTTAAAAGTCTATTTTAAATGATTTTATCTAATAGCTTACAGGCCTGTGGTGTCTAAAATGCATCCATTTTTGGCATTTTCCAGTTTTCTAAAGCACAAGTTTTGAAAGCATTCCCTAATCACCCTCTTGATTCCATTGGAATCTGAAGAACCTTCCCATTTTTATCTTTGATTGTATTAATTTGTGTCTTCTCTCTCTTGATTATGGTTAATTTGGCTGGGGGAGTACTAAACTTATTTTTTTTTTTAAACAAAAATCCAACTCTGATTCTACACACTTACTTAATCTTCATCACACAGATTTCTGCCGTGGTCTTCCTTCTTTCTGCCTACTGCTTTGGGACTGGCTTGTTCTGTGTTTCTAAGCCCTTGACATGTGTATAG